CAGTACCCTTATCCTTCCCCCAGCAGGTGCAAAACAAAACCAGCACATTCTTGAGAGTTGGCTGTGAGGATGGATAAACCACAGGTCATTTCCCACGTATAGTGCACCAGGCTTTAGACCTGTCTAAGGGCCAGTTAGTTGCCTTGTGTGGAGGTGGAGGAAATTAATCAATTTTAGTTAATATTTTAACTGTCCAAAAAATGACTTTATAAATTAAAATCAGAATGTGGTTTTTAATTTTTTATCATTAAAAATGCATCTCAAATATATTCTCTTCTTGAAGACAAACTGTGTAATAAGCCAGATTATAATCAGAAGGTTGCTTGGTGATCCTAGAGATAAAGCCATGACCTTTTCTTCCTCTTCTATCACACCAGTCCCCTGGCCCACTGGTGCCCCTTTCCTTTTGAATTGGACACAACCACAAAGAAAGGTGACTTCTTAAAGCAAATGTTGAGTGAAATTCCAAGAGAAAACATCCTCGGATTGACACTCACTACGGAGCCTGAGCAGGGCAGCTGCATTTTCTGAGAACAACACAGAACATCCCCTGACCATTTGTACATCATTTAAGAGTTCATAACTATATTTATTTCTATAGCTCCTAGAATTCTTACATGGCCCCCAAATATGCAAAAGCCTCTTAGAAAGAATATGGCTGTTGGCTGGGTGCAAGCCATATTAATTCTAAGCAAGCAACCATATTCTATTTTATTTTGAAAAGCTTACTTGTGATAAGATAAAATGAACCATCCTCAAATGAGTAGCACATGGCCACTGAAACTCCAGTGAGGGGTGAAGAAAAGCTATTGAACTTCCAGTCCCAACAAGGATACTTAAACCCTTCCAGTACCATCTTATCTGGTTTATTAACGTGTTTTGTTTTTAGTGAGTGCAAGTAGAGGGCAGAAAACTTGCATTTGTTTTAGACCAGGGTTGTGCCAGGCACCTGAACATACAGAATCCAACAAGGCTGGAATAGACACCCTGAGTCACACATCTCCACGTGCTGAGGGTCCATTTGCACAATGAGAAGGTCCAGGCTTTGCCTGAGTGGCCCTCCCTAGAGATGGTTCCATATTCATTTGCAATTTTGTCTCCCAGTGTCTTCATCTTTTTGAGCTTCTATGACAGAATACCACAAACTAGGCAACTGATAAACAACAGAAGTTTATTTCTCACACGGAAATGTCACAAGGAAACTCCCTGTGAGGTTATCTAAAACAAACAAAAATGTTATTTTTTTCTTTCACAAAATCATAGACAGGAGGATAGAACAGATCCTGTCTGGGTGGTGGATGATTGGTACCAGTGGGAGGGAGAGGATGTAGGGAAAGGGTGGGAGGGGGAATATGGTGCAAATGTGTGTACAGGAAAGTGAGAACTGTTGAAACTATTCCAGGAATGGCAAGGAGGATAGAGAATGATGGAGGGGGTGAATTCAAGTATGATATATTTGATAGATTGTAAAAACTTTTGTAAATGCCACAATATACTCCCACGCAGCACAACAATTTTAAAAGGTTTACTTCTCATAGTTCTGGAGGCTGGAACTCCATGATTAAGGCCCCCGCAGAGTCAGTGTTTGGTCAGATCCCATCTTCTGGTTCTTAGATGACTTTCTTGTGTCCTCTCATGGCAGAAGAGATGGGGACCTCTCTTGGACCTTTTTTGAAGACACTAATCCTGTTTAGGATGACTGCCCTCATGACCTAATCACCTCCCAAAGGTGCCACCTCCTAATCCCAGCTCTTTGGAGGATAGAATTTCAATGTATGAATCAAAAAATGGTGGGACAAAAATATTCAATCTAGCACCCTAGACTGCTAAACATGATTTTTCCTGCCTTCTTCCCCTTCTTTCTTACTATCTTGAGGAAAATTTAATGGAGGGACTATTTACAAAGGTCAGGTAAGGTGAAGAGAGCAACAAATGTAAGATTAAGGTAAAGACCACGAGTGGCAAAATGGAACAGCTGGTCTTAATTAAACTGGAAATCAGGGCCACTCCCCAGGCAGCGTGATCATTCAGCAGCCCCTCTGAATTTGAATTTGTGGAGGAAAAAGTTTTAAAATAAAAAATTCCTGCATTTCTGGAAACTCCTCTAGCTATCTGATTCTAGCTTTATCTTTGAACTACTTTTACCACTATGTGTTTTCTCCACATAGCACATTCTTCTGGGTTACCAATTCTAGCCTGGTTCAATCTCTGACTATTTCAGCCCTGTAAAAATGTGTCTGTTCTTTGAATTCTTTTTGAAGGTCAGGTAAGGTGAAGAGAGCAACAAATGTAAGATTAAGGTAAAGACCACGAGTGGCAAAATGGAACAGCTGGTCTTAATTAAACTGGAAATCAGGGCCACTCCCCAGGCAGCGTGATCATTCAGCAGCCCCTCTGAATTTGAATTTGTGGAGGAAAAAGTTTTAATAATAAAAAATTTCCTCTGCATTTCTGGAAACTCCTCTAGCTATCTGATTCTAGCTTTATCTTTGAACTACTTTTACCACTATGTGTTTTCTCCACATAGCACATTCTTCTGGGTTACCAATTCTAGCCTGGTTCAATCTCTGATCTATTTCAGCCCTGTAAAAATGTGTCTGTTCTTTGAATTCTTTTTTGAATCATTCTGACATCTGGCTCCCTCACTCACTAACAAGTGAAATAAAATCTTTAGCATATGTTCATCTGGTCTGCACAAAGCTGATAATTTTATTATATTTTGAAAAATTAAAGCAAATATTCCCTCCTCCCAGGGTGGGGGTTATCCTGTGCAGGGTATCTGACAACAAAGTTGCCTGGGCCTTGAGTATTACAGCTCTCATACCGCACATAGCTTTTTGACTGCCAGACAGTTATACCACGAGGTAGCCAGAATCAGAACCACATCTCAACCCTTGGTCTTTGGGACTAGGCCTAGCTTGTCCATCCAGATTCCTAACTGCTTTACAGAGAATTTCCCTGCAGAAACTCCACTGACTTTCTTAAAATCTACAGTATGCAGCAAGCCATACTCCACCAGTTTTTATAGGCCCCTCCTTAAGAATTCTGCATCTCAATGGGAGTCAGAGGTCTTCTCTTTTTCCCAGGGGATTTTCACATGCCTGGATAAGCTTATAGATGTGCCCCTTAACTCTGTCAGTAGCATCCAGGACTCAAATTCAAAGGAATTTTCCTGTGAGCCCATGGACCAGTGAGCCCTAATTCTATTCACCAATGCCCTAAGTGCCTGTCCGGTCACAATCCTGCCTTCTGTCCATTTCACGGGTGAGGCAAGTTCAGTACTTGCCCACAATGACACAATTCGTTTGTGGATTCAAATCTGGCAGGGTCAGATTCAACTCAGTATTTTCTACTTAAATGCCAATGCTGAACCTTTGTCACTGAGATGCCCAGACATCAAAGGAGAGCAAGAGGCTCCTAGGGAACAAAGCAAAGCAGCATCTTCTTTTTCTTCAATATCTCAAGTGAACTTGAGAAACCATAAAACTGCACACATTTTTAAACTTACATCTAAAACTTTTCATGATGAATGCAGTTACAAAGGAAATAATTTCTGCCATTTTTTAAACATTAGTTTTTAAGTTACACTACTATTAAAATGCATTCAATGGGTACTTATCAAAATGACTTGATATCCATCACCTATAAATGCATGCTCAGAAATTTCCCTTAACTTCATACCTCCATTTCATCTCTCCTATACAACCACATTTATTTGTTTGAAATTCTTATATTGAGTACTCTACTTCTCTACTTACATCTTTAATTTTAAATTTTGCCTCATGCTGCAGTTATAAAGCTCCTAGTATTAAAAAATATCTTCTGGATTGGGTATCATCTTAATTGTTACTAGTACATAATTGATCAAAATGAATACTTAAATAATACACACAGAAAGCAAATTTTATTGTAAACATTATTTCCTAACTCAATGCATGGGGCAGGATTTTTCTCCCCGTAGTCTGTTTTTCTGGATGAATGATTATAAGGTTATATAAATAAAACAGGAGCTACCAGTAATTTCTATTCTCTTTTTTTCTTTCAGGTTGGAAGAGATTTGTTTCTATAAAAAGCAAAAGTGATATGAGTTTTATTAGGCAATGTCCTTAATAGTGATTGATAAACGTCACGCTCAGGGTGGTGGCTGGGGGGTAGCTGGCAAAGGAGCTCAAGGACAAGCAGCTAGGGAGCTTGTATGAAGTACAGGTGGAGCTCAGGAGAGTCAGGCAGGAGGACCAATTGTTCAAGGCCAGCCTGGGCTAGCAAGACCGTATCCCGAAAAAATAAGAAAGAAGATATAGGTTATGTTTTTAGGTAGCAAATACAGATTTGCTGCAGTTTTTCAATCTGCCCTGGACATAGTTCATGAATAATCTTTTATCCATGCCTAGTGCTCAACTTTAAAACAGTAGACAGGAGAGAAACATTCTTGTAATCAAGTTAAATCAGATGTTCGCAAGGTAGCTTTTTAAAAGGATTATTTTGTTCCCTTTCCTACAACGCATTAACACCTGCAAGGCAGCTTGAGATTTCAGCGTTCTTGGTAGCTTTCCTTTAGACAACAGGTTCCCTCTAGATCTGCTACGTGGACACTCAATGCAATAATTTCTTTCTAATGAGCAGAGGGAGCTAAGCCAGTGAGATGGTGCCATCCTGGAGAGTGGTCAAGGAACATTCCACTGATGACAGGACACTGGTCAGCAGGAAATGACAGAGGTCATGCAGATAGCAGAGCCAGGGGAAAAAACACATTAGCAGAGACAATTTGCACAGCCAGGTGAGTGACAGGAACAGAAAGGGGACTTTCTACTTCCCCATTTCCATCACCTGGGAGGAGGGTGACTTACTGGCCCCTCCACATCTCTGGACTTAGCACCCACACACAGCTCTCGGTCATACCTTGCTCCGTTGTACTGCATTTATATACATACCCATGCTCCCCATTAAGCTGTGAGCTCTTTTAGGGCAAAAAATGAAGGCACACATCTCCAGGTGCTTGTAGTTAGATTTTATTAGCCACAGTTCACCTCCTAGGAGATGTACAACTAACCAAGGGCACCCAATCACTATTCGGGGCCTGCAAACATGGCTGATACCATTGCTTCCCTGAGGTGGGCATGGTTTCCTCAGGTACAGAGTCCTGAGGGAGAACTGGGAAATCCTTTGTTTTCCACGAGGAAGAGGACACAAAAGCCAAATGACCCCCCAGGTATCATGGAGCAGAGGCAGAGCCCTAAACTGCCCCAGAGGCCTAGGCACTTGGTGTTCCTCCTACAGCTAGCTGCCCACCTGTCCTCCCACAGTGGCCAATCCCTAGTGTGACTGTAAACATTTTTTGGTCAATGTCCACACATAATGCAATCAGATGCCTTCTGATGACTGGGTTCGGTGAGCTTTAGCTGCTGGGGTGCAAGGACCAGGCGGTGCATGAATGGCAGGGTGCTGCCACACCAGCACAACGCACTGTGCTTTCCCTGCAGCTCTGCCTCCACCCTGGGTTGCCTGCCTACCCCCAGCCCTGCAGGAGCCAGGACCTAGAGGTATGAGGGGGTCCTGGTGCAGGGCACCTAGCTAGGAATGCACTGCCCTACTGATGGGCCGTTTTTCTGTGAAGAAGCTTTTCAGCAGCAGCACCTGACTGAAGCTGACCACAAACAGGGCAACTGTCTCGCCGACAGACCAGTAAGAGACTCGGCTATTCAGATCTTCTGCTCGGGCTCGGTCCTGAGCCTCTCGAAGTCGGTAATGTGTCTGAGAGTCGATTACCGTCTTCAGAGCCTCATGGATGGTCACACATGCTGACTCCATCTGGGCAGGAAGAGAAAAGCCGTCATGTTGCTAACCCTGAGACAGGCATAGTGGAATCCAGCCAACACTGTCATCAACATCTCAGGTAAAACATCTATGGGGGGCTACCTAAGTGTCTGTGCCAAGACCTTATGTGCTACTATTTAATCCTAGGGATAAGCCTGAGGATCAGAGAGTAAGCGGCTGGCCCAGTCACACAGGTAGTATGTGGCAGAGTCACATTTGACTCAACTCTCCTGAGTCTATGTACGCAAGCCCACTTCTCTAAATCAATCCTCACAGTGCTGACAATGCTCACATCCTCACGGTTAAGGAGGCTGATGGACTGCTGTCCCATATATAGATGAGGGAACTGAGGCTCAAGGAGCCTACATGAACCAGCCAAGGAGCTGTGCTGGATGCTGAATCTATTGCTCATTCTACTGTCTAGTTGACACCTGCAGTTTTATGTATAAACATAAACATGCACTTCTCGTGTACATAAACACACGCGTACATACAAACACACGCAAAGACATACACATGCATATAAATACGCACACATTCTCATGGGCAACACATACTACCTCACAGCTTCTTGTATCTTCTAAAATATTCTGTGAGACAGGCAGAACTCTGGAAAGGCCCCCTCCCACCACCACCCAAGTCCTGCTCTGCTCCCAAGAATCTTGGGCATGTATGGTTAGTTGCCACTCATGTGGCTGTGCTGTCACTTGGCACCGTGGCCCTTAAGACAGGGAGAGATTACCACTGGCTTGATCTACTCACACAAGCCCTCAAAGCACAGGTTGCAGAGAAGCAGACCTGCAAGGTCCAGGAAAAGGCCTCCAGGGGCTCAGAGCACAACAGTTGGCAATGAAATGGGACTTCTGTCCTAAGACTGCCCAGAACTGAATCCCACCAACAACCTGAACGAGTGTGAAAACAGATGCTTCCCCAGCCTGCCAGGCAACAGTAATACCTGGCCAATGCCTCCATTTCAGCCCAGAGAGCCTGAGCAGAGGATGGCAGAACTGCCCAGACACACAGCCCACGGAGCTGTGAGATGAAGATGGGTGCTTATTCAGCCGCTATGTTTGTGGGAGTCAGTTACTCAGCAATAGACAACTAACGCATTAGGATGTGGAAGACCACCAGTTCTTACTCAAGAGGCAACCTCTAAAACACCAGCACATCTAAAGCCAGCAAGTCCTATCTCAACAGTGAGTTCTGAGGCTACAGACATTCATAAGCATTTACCAGATGCTTGCTGCAGCTTCCACACTCCAAAGGCAAACTATTTCCAAAGCAAAGCATGAGAAGCTAGAGGAGATGGAGTTATCATGTAATCTCCCTCTCCAAAAACCCTTGTTTCTCTAGCACACTGAACCCTTTACAGGAGGCAAATGGGAATCTGACCAAAACATGGTGCTGCCCTCTAAGAGCTAAACAGGATGACATTAGAACAACAGCTCCCCTCTAACCCCTACACATCTTCTGTCTGTCTGACATGTGGTCTATCTCCTGAGCTCTAGGTTTCCTGTGCCCATGGTGGCTCAGCCTCTCATTCTGATCCATGGATAGAAAGGTGACAAGGATTTGTGGATCAGATGGAACTGGTGGAGGTGACCTGGGCACCAGTTCAAGGAGAACCCAGTGAAGAATGAGTCTGTTTGTGCTTCAGTCTGTCCCAGAGGCTACCTTAACTCTGCTTTCTTAGTGACTTCTATCATGTCTGAGTATCTCAGCTACATACACACTTATCTTGTGTCATCAGCACCAGGCTTCGCTACCTTCCCACATTTGTTAAGGAAGCTGTATGCACACATATTTGACACTGAAAAAAGAACAAGTCATCCAAGAATGTATCTTGACATCAAGAAGTTGATTCATGGACAAGCACAGTAGCTCATGCCTATAGTCCTAGCTACTTGGGAGGAAGAAAAAGCATAAATAGGAAGATCATGGTCCAGACTGGCCTAGGTATAAACAGCAGCACCCCATCTGAAAAAATTACTAAAGCAAAAAGGGATAGGGGGCATGGCTCAAGTGGCAGAGTGCCCGCCTAGCAAACATGAGGCCTTGAGTTCAAATCCCAGTACTGCCAAAAGAAAAAAAAAATTGATTCCCAAGTGTCAGTCACCAGCAGAGGCCTCTCAGCACAGACCTCCAATGCTGGGGACAATGGTGGCATTTTAGGCTTGCTCCACCTCACTTTTCTCTTGATACTTCCAGGGTTCATGTCCTCTGGAGGAATAGGAAGCTGGCCTGGGAAGAAACTAGGTGACAGGGTGAAGTCATGCTTAACCTAACTATGCAAACCCATGTCAAAGTTGACTCAAGTATGATATTTCTAGAGCCTCCCCATGCTCCCTTCCAGGTTCTGCCTGTGACCATGAACATGGAGCCTTGGCAAGTCAAATCAGTTGTGTTTACATCACCCTGAAGGTCATTAGATCACTTACTGAAGGTGGGGCTGAGGCACTCAGGAGACCTGTAAAGTGAGGCTACAAGGATTTAAAATCATGCTTAGTTTTCTTTCATAGCTCAAAACTCCATTCATTCATCCAAGCTTTTACGAACTGCCTACTTGTCTTTGAGGCCAGCCCTGTGCTAAGGCTCTGGAAACAATAAAAGCCAACACAGACTTGGACCTCAGAAAGTTCACAATTGAAAGGAAAAATAAATGAAGTGTAATACAGAGTACAAAGAGCAAACCACAGGGGAGTGCAGTTATTATGGGGCTCTAGGAACAGGAATGGTGGGGTGAGAATTCCACGTGAACAGGATCTGCCTGTGGTAGCCATGAGGTAGAACGGGGTGCACGAAAACCAGCTAGAAAACCTCAGGTTGCTGCAATCAAGAAGACAAGTCCTCAATTAAGGTCAAAATGGTGGGGAAGCATGAATTTGGGGGAGACTTAGGGTTATGAAATCAGAGAACTTAGTAACAGAAGTTAGAAGTCACTCTTTTTTGGGTGGGAAAGGGGGAGATCCTGGGGTTTGAGCTCAGGGCCCTGCACTTGCAAGGCAGGCACTCTACCACTTAAGCCATGGCCCCAGCCCTTTTTTGCTTATCCTTCAGAGTCTCAACTTTCTGCCCAGGAGCCGGCCTTGGACCATGATCCAAAGGAAGTCATTCCTAACATTAGTAAGAGGAATAAACATACACACACATTATGGGGTTTCAGTAGTGTAGTAGTTATCACGTTCTCCTAACACACACACACACACACACACACACACACACACACACACACACACACACACACACACACACTTTACTTATATCATTCTATAGGGACTTTGTTTTTAAACACTAGGAAAGGGCTCTTTTGGTTTTCCAGGTTAGAAATCCATTCTCCAAGTTTATTTCTGTCACAACCACATTCAGAAACTCACAATGTACACTGCACTCACTTAATTGGAGCCCCTTGGACCCAGGACACTGGTCTGGGAACTCAGTGGTGCTGGTCCACTACTTCTTATTCTATCACCTTGGGGACCAACCCTTTAGCTCATGAACCTTTGGGGAACAAACCATATCTAAACCTGGCACGAGTCCCACAAGAGCCCCAAAGCAATATATCGCCAAGAATCTCAGATACTGCCAGGGGCCAGTTGCTCAGGCCTGTAATCCTAGCTACTCAGGAGGCAGAGATCAGGAGGATCGCAGTTCAAAGCCAGCCAGGGCAAATAGTTCCATTTCAAGACCCTAGCTTGAAAAAACCCATCACAAAAAAGGGCTGGTGGGGTGGCTTAAGGTGTAGACCCTGAGTTCAAGCCCCAGTACAACCAAAATAAAAATCCCAAATACTTGGAAGCATCCCCTTGCCATAAGCATCCCCATCTGCTGGGATCTTCCTTTAGTGCCAGTCTGAAAGAAACCTCTTCAGCTTGTTACCATAAGAGTTCAGCTGGACAATCCCTCCAGCCTGCTTCTGTTGGGGACATGAGACAGTAGATAATGGCTACAAGGAGATTCATGCCACATAAAGTAAAAATGGGTCAGCGAGAATAAAAGCCAGACCCTGGACAATTCAACTGCTCTTCTCTTCATCTGGGAGGTCCTTCCTCCTCCTTTACAAATGTCTAGTCTTCACGTTTCTACTCTTTCTTTTGCTGTTGTTCAGTTTTCGTTTGGGTTCTTTTTTTGTTTGTTTTTGAGACAGTTTTGCTATGCAGCCCAGGCTGGCCGCAAAGCTGCGATCATCCCTCCCCAGCCTCCTGAGTGCTAGTGTTACAGGTGTGTGCCACCACTCCTGGCCTCACATTTTCACTCTTAAGCTAAAACTTTCCCAATGAAGGTTTCCTGACTTGCCAGGGGGAATTCGCAGTTCTCTCCACACCCTTCAATCCAGCTCTGACCACAGCACCCTGTGGCTAACTAGCTGGTAGGGTTGCTCTCTTCTGACACAGAAGCAGTGTCATCTATTCTAGTGCTTCCACTACGAGTGGCCCAGGATTCAGATCACATGGACACCCACCACTGGTGAGCAAGAGCCCTCCGAGGCAAACACAAAAGGACCCTGGTGTAAGGAAGAGGAGTCAGGGCTACAGAAATAGAAAGAATGCCTATTTTGAGACTGAGCAAGAGCAAAGAAGAGGTTCAAAGTGGTGAGAAAAAGGAAGCCTAAGTCACTCTTCCCCTAAAAAGGAACCAAACTCGAATGCTCAGGTTCCAGGAAAGAACTTTCCTACTAACCTGACTCATTAAGTATTTTCTCTTACCAATGCCCCACCCCACTGGTTCAAAGTAAGTCCTTAAGCTCGAGCTTTCAAGATCTTCCAAACAGAGGCGTTTCGTCAGTGACCAACAGAACGCTCAAGAATATCAGGTGCAAAATGTCTTACATCCAATCCGTGCCTTCAGCTGAATATTCTCAAGGAGGTCAGGCTGCCCAGCTCCAACCAACCCATGGCAATCCAATGGAAGTTTCCATGCATGGCCATTGGCCACTGAGTACCATACACCACTACAGTGCAAATGAGGAAGTGAATTTTTAATTTAATTTTAATTAAGTAGCCAAGTGTAGAGAGTGGCTACTGTGCTGGACAATGCCGCTCTATCCTCCAACTCCTTAGGGAAGGAGGGAGACTGGGCAGCCCACAGGATTTGATGAGTGTGCCCAAAGCCACAGAGGAACAGAGCACAGGGCCACCCTGGAGGGCCAGAAGGTAACCTGGACTCCTTAAAGACTCAAGATGCTGTAGCTTTGTTTCTGGAACGAGTGCAGCCACAGGTAGTTGTTCTCGTTTTACAGGTTTACTGGGCCATGATAATCAGTCACATGACAAATACTTGGTGAGCTTTCGGTGCCATGCCTCATGTACTGGGGAACCAAGAATACAAAGGTAAAATACCAGTCCTGGCCTGCAGGAAGCCTCCAACTTGCATGTGGAAGGGAATGAGGCACTTAAATAGCAGGAGGGAGGAATGGTGAAGGAGGCCTGACCTCCAAAAATGTCCTGTTTCTCTTCTACAGTGGAGTTGCTACTCAGAGGTGGCTGCTCACCCAGGACTGTATTTGCCAGCATTCCTATCATCCAAATTTTCCACATGATGGATGCTCACCTGTGGGACAGGAGCAGAAGTGGAATGTGTGACTATGGGCCCAGGCTTTTACAAAGCAAGCGGGCCTTTCTCACTCTCTCCTTTTGGTGGCAAAAGACTCTGAAGCCCCCAGGAAAAGCAGAGAGATGATGAGAAAGAAAGAGCCTATATTCCTGAGTCACACCATGGAAGAAAGAACTTCTCTAGATCATCTTGAGTGAGAAAACTTCAACTGTGTTGAGCCACTGACATTTATTTGTCATAGCATGTTGTGTTATCCTCACCAATATACCACATAAAGTAGGACTTTGGTCTTTATGATAAAGACAAATCACATAAGCAAAAAGGCACATGACATAGACTTTGAAAGGGGAGTTGTGTCAAAGAAAGACTACATGGGAATGAGTAGAGATAGAAATAACAGATACCACAGGATCTGGTTAAAGAACAGAAAGGAAGGAGACCAGTGACCATGAGGGCCAGACAGTGACTCTGCTCATTAGCTGAGACAGGGACATGCTAGAGGAGTGGGGGGTTCCACCAAGCCTGTAACTGCTAATGTCCACTCACCTGGGTGAGAGCTGTGACCTTATTCCCCATGTCTGGGAGAATAGGGGGCTCGTCGCCCATTTGGAAGTCAAAGTAGACGGTCTTGTGAGAGAAGGTGGAAAACTCATTACTGAAGCAAAACTGATAAACGCCCTTGACCTCGGTCCGGTACGTGAAGCTGTCATACTGCTTCTTGGTCTCCCGGTAGACGATGTTTCCCAGTGGGTCCTCCACATAGCAATCAACATCGTAGTGGCCTCCAGTGATGACCTAACAGTCACAAAAAGTCTTCCGTTACTAGAGAGACCACCAACACTTACTAAATGTCAACCACACACTGCAACCAGTCTCTATAAACATTGCTGTCACTTAACTTTCACAACCTTCCAAGGCAGGTGCCATGACACTTCTCATTTTGCTGAGCCTGAGTGAGGTTAAGTGAACTGACCATGGTCACTCTGCTTAAAAGTGCCAGGACTAAGACTGGTATCCATGTTTGCCTGACACCAAAGGCTTTGCTCAGCAGGACTACAATGAGCCTAACACCTCTCATTTTACAGAAGAGGAAACTGAAGCTCCAGGGTTAAATGAATTTTCTAAGGTTGCAAGACAGAAAATAGTTGGGCTGTGATTTGGCCTAAGGGTTGCTTGGCTCCATCTCCCCAACACTTAGCCACTGCCTTCTTCTGCAGCACCAGTGACCACTCCCCAAAATAACTCTCTTCATAGGATGGGGCTACAGGGCTCTCAGAAGGAAGAAAACGAAGGGAGGCACGCCCAGGACACTGCTCCAGAGCAACTAGCTGCCACTACTTCTTTATCTTTGTCCAGTCCCTAACACAAGACATGGAGCAAAGCGCTCTACTCATCAGCTGTGTGACCCTGGTCAGGTTACTCTCTGAGGACATGTCTTCATTTGTAAAGGGGGATAACAGTAGTAATGACCTCATAAGGTGACAATACCATGTGGCATCACGTCAAAAGTAATCAGCGTAACGTCTCACACGGAGCACATACCCTGCACTCACAGTGCACACTGGCCAAGAGGGTGATGATGGAGGGCGTGGGATCTGACCCGGAGCTGCCCAGGGGCAAGAACAGGTGGAGCTCATGCTGCACCTATTGCTTCTCTCTTCCAGTACAAGACAGGAGTCCCAAGTGTCATTCTTGGCTTGTTGAATGGGTAGTAACTTTAATAAAGTTAGTACTGACTGGATGCAAGGAAAAGGCAGATATGGAATGAAGCACTCAGAATCAGTTAGAGGAGGGGGAGAACTCAGGAATCATTTACTTCAAACTCTCCTGTATGCCCAAGAAAAGTAAGACCCACAGAGGGCAAAATCACACAGGTGGTCAATGGCCGTGACCAAGATCCATTAAAGGACACAGTTAATGGCCTTTATCTGTTTCTAAACTTAAAATGTTCTTTTTGTGCGATAAAAGTTACTAGACTTGTTCAGCAAGCTTTGTGGGAAGCAGCAAGCATCCTGTTTCTGGGTGTTTAGACCCACTGAGGACACTCCTACCCTGGTGGTGGCCAGATGGCCTCTCAGGACTCTAGCCACACAACTACCATTGTTTTGTTCCCGTGCTTGGGTAGCCTGTGTTAAGGCAGACACATGTACAATTAGCATGCTGTCCACACAGATGTGAAAGTGGACATACACTGGCTCCAGGCACAGCCTCCTTCAGCGCTCTAACCACAGCAAGGTGCCTCAGTATGCCCCATTCCTACTGCCTGTGCCACCTCATTCATTGAAGGCCTACCAGCATGTGCCCAATCTGCCATCCAACCTTAGATCTGCACACTAAACCTTGGGGACAGACCCCTCACCCAAGGGCTAATCCTGGCAACTGTGAGCCATGAGCTGTCTATGAAGAAAGGAGTGCAGGAGGTGGCTTTCCTGGGGCATATGGCAAGAGACAAATCTTAGGGGTCACGGCCACTGCTTCTTATGAACACTGCCAGGGTTCAACGGCTGCTCTGAGACCTCCTTTCCAAAGCACCCTTTCTCACTACCCTGGCTCACCCCCACTCCAACTGTCAACAAGCCCACTTCCCCTTCCTGCCATCTTTCAACACCTGCGGGGACAGAGGAGGCGGTCTGGCCAGACAGTGCCTAAGTTCAGCTGATGGGTTACGGGCGTTCGTCAGGGTTGCAGTGGCCCAAGAGGAGGTCACTCTGGCCAACTCTGCGGGATGCGGGACCCGCGCCGAGCTTCCACCTGGGCACGCACCTGCGGCGCTGGCCCGTCTCGGGTGGGCTCAGTCTGATGCCGGCATTCGGTCTCACGGGGAGGTCAACCGGTCTCGAGTGATCCATCCATTCCCACCCCCTGCAGCCTCTTTGGCTAATTCGGGCCGCTCCAGTCGGCGGTGCCCAGGGCGCAGGTGAGACCCGGCACGTGGAAGGAGGGGGAGGCTGCCGGGCCCGGCCGCACCTGGTAATCCAGGGAGAACTTCACGCCCTGCTCCACCTCCTCGTGGAAGCACTGCTTGGCGTTGTCCGGCAGCTCGAAGGTGAGCTCGGCGGCCCGCGGCCGCTCGGCGCAGAGCAGGAGCAGCAGCAGCAGCAAGGAGGCGGGCCGCGGGGCCGCGCTGCCCATGGTGCCCTCGGCCCAGTCCGCTGGGCTGCAGCGCTGGCGGGGACCTGGAGGGCCGTGCCGGGACAGACAGACGTGGCGCCACCGTCCGCCGCGCTTCCGGGAGGGCGGGCCGCCCAGTGCGCAGGCGCGCGCCCGGGGCCGGGGGCGGGGCCATTCGCTCGCTGCGCGTGCGCGCTGGCTGGGACGAGGAACCGGAGGCGGGCTTCCCCCACCACCCCGCACAGACCCCCTGCTTTCTATTGCGACTCCGGGGCCCACAGAGCTGAGCGCCACCCCCTCCCGCCGCCGCAGCACGGCGCACTGCGCTTGCACTCCATACCCGCTCTGCAGTCCCTTGTCCCCCAGGCCTCTGGAGAAATCAGTCTTCTTCCATAGAAATGGGTGTGCCCAGACCCAACACGCACAGTAGTTTACGAGGGTTAGGTGGATGAGGATAAGGGAACGCTGGGAACACGTTGACACTCCTCCACCCCTTCCCCGGGTGACGAAGTGTCCCAGAATACGTAAAGCCCCACCCGCACGCCTGCCATGGAAAAACAGACATGCTCGCACAGAAATGGTCTCAGGAAAATGAGAATGAAGTAGCAGGGATTTAGATGTTTTGGCAGTACGGACTGTTTGAAATTCTTTTTTGGACAAAACTGTCACACACACACACACACACACACACACACACACACACACACGTCCCCAAAGCGCTAAGAAGACACAAGTTGATTTACCCACAACCACTATCCTAAGTTTTTTATGTAATTATAACTATAGGGTTTTATGTTCCCTGTAATGCCATAAACAGAAGTGACATTATGGTATTGCTACTCAATGAAGAATTTTTTCATAGATGTGGTGAGTTGATTTCAGTGAGGGATTTTACACTGCGCATATACCTCCATATGAATAAGACTTGGCGTCTCTGTTCCCTGTAATGCCATAAACAGAAGTGACATTATGGTATTGCTACTCAATGAAGAATTTTTTCATAGATGTGGTGAGTTGATTTCAGTGAGGGATTTTACACTGCGCATATACCTCCATATGAATAAGACTGGCGTTCTCTGCCATCTGATCCAGCTGACCTGATATGTGTGAAGGCAATTTGTAGGCTGTGAAGTAATAACACAGTTACGAGTAAGATGTAGTAGCTCTGTAGTAGACTCGGAAGAAGGTTTATTAGTGTGTCTTGCAGTCCGCTCCTTGTCTCCGTCCTGTTTAACAGTAGTTTTAGTATCCGAAAGAAAGCATGGAAGTAATAATCATATAATCTAGATACATCAAATGGAGGGGGAGGGAAGGTTACATTGGCCAGCTGAAGTGCTAGGCTAAGTCTCATGAAAAGAAGTTTATCCAGGTTAAATATTAAGTCCTGAATGTAAATTCCAAGAAATCACCTGCCTAAATTCAGAACGGGTTGGGAGGAGCACAGCTCAAGTGAGCAAGCAGAGTTATAATCAACAGCAACCTGAATGTAAGACAAGGGAAATGCCTGAGCTAAAAAAAGGAAACTTGAGTTAGACTGGTGAATAAAGAACAGCACTGTTTTGGCACCTGTTGTATGGAAAATATTGTTAAGGAAGGTAAATGTCCCACCTTAACAGGCAATGATCAGGTGGCATCTATTGAACTATTTTAGGAGAGATACTAGCAAAAGAGGAAGGGATAGTCACAAGAAGGTAATTAGGAGGAGACAAGCATAATTAATTGCCAGGAACCCTTCTCAAGCAAGGTAAAGGCAAAGGCAAAAGAATTTAACCTGGGAAAGTAAAAACTTATGAAGAGTTTAGTTTCTCAAGTTTACATAACAATCCTAAGAGCTACCATTTATTTAGCACTAGCAATGACCCCACCACAGAGCCACCTGTTTATACAGTTCATATGCTTTGTAATGCTTAGTGCTCAGCAGCAATCATGCCAAAAAAAGTAGTTTTTCCAATTTGGCAAGGAAGAAACAGAAGCTCAGGAAGTTGAATTAAATAATATGTCTGTCTCTATTAGCTTTTGTTGAGCTTCAATGGTTTAAACCAATGCTGAATTATAATTTCTCATGATTTTGTAGATTAGCTGGGAATTTCAGCATCAGATGGGTTTTCCTGGGCTTGCCCATGCAGCCCACTGTGCTGGTCCAAGATAGCCCCACTTGTATGTCTGGCAGCAAATGCAGGTTGTTGACTGGAGCACCTTGTTTCTCGTCCAAGCATCTCTCACTTCTAGTAGGCTAAGTTGCTTTCTTATGTAACAGGCTCAGGGAAGTATTCCTAGAGGATCAACACAAAAACAGCAAGTCCCCCTAAGACCTAAGCTTCAGAAATTTCCTGACATCACTTCCTCCACATTCTGTTGGTCAGAGCAAGTCCAAAGCTGTCCCACGTTCAAGGAGGGGGGAGAAGAAGACTATATCTCAATGAGCGGAGATGCAAAGTATCATTGCAAAGGAGGAGCCTCCAAGGATGGGAAGAATTTGTGGCTGTTAAACAATCTTCTACATTACCTAGACTCACTCAGTTAAGGCAGGAGTTGAATCCCGACCTGTCCACTTCTGAAGCTATACACTTCCCACCAACCACACTGCCTCTACCCATTCCTCAGGGTTCACATGTTCTGCAGGTTCCATAAGGTAAAACTTGGCTGTGAGCCTGACTCTTACTCTGAAGTATGTTTCAGTTCAATGTAAGAAATGACTTTCTGGAACTACAGCTTTCCAAGAAAAGAATGAACAGAAAGAGTAAAATGTTCATCCCTGCAAATATTCAGAAAAACAAACAACCACTGAAGATACCTTAGCATTAATTCATGAACTAAGTGATAGAGTGCAATGGTGGATCTCTAGTGTTCTTTCCACACTTCATAGTCCATGATACATGACAGAAGATACTAAAATTAAGAAAGCTTGGAAGAAAAACCAAAAACACCAACTGTCCCCCTTAGTCCTGAGGTGACTCCGGTAAAGACTCTTAAAACAATAAACTCCTCCTCTTCCTCCTCCTCTGGTCCTCAAACCTGAGGACCTCAGGCTTGCTAGGCAGGCACTCTACCACTTAAGCCACCCTGTATCCCAGATAACCTCATTAATGTCATAGCATGTCTATTAAAAGCATGGAGAAAGCCTCACGATGAATAATAAATATTAAAGATTTTTTTTGGAATTGGAATGCCTGCTATAACAACTGCTATTCAACATTGTTCTAGAAATTCTAGGCAGACAGAAAGAGCAAGAATAAGAAATAAAAGAATAAGAATTAGAAATATAAAGCCAGAGTAGTGCTTACCTCTAAGTGAAAGGAGGAGGCAGAGATTTAAAAGTGGCTTCTAAGGGGGAATTTGTGAGTATTCACATAACGGTTGTTTGTTGAATGCACATTTATGTTCTATGACTTCTTTCTATGAATATATTATCTCACAATTCTAAAAGGTTTTAAAAGTCAGTAGAGGTATTATGATGATGCCGGCAGTATGAGGTGGACCTATCTATGCCTTAAAACAAGACTTTATTCTTGTCCTATGCAACGGGAGCACTCTCCAGCACGCTACAGGACTTTGAGCCAGAATCAGCAGTTATTCATGCCTTATACATGCAATTGATAGCAAAGAAAGAAAGCAGTGTGGTCACTCCCTGTGGACTGACTAGAGCAAACAGAAAGTTTGCAAACCACTTAACATTGCCATGAAACTACAACTAATCCCAGTCTTTCCCTGAGGAAAACCAACCAGACAAAGGTGTAAATACTGCCCTCCTAAGACTCATCAGTTTCTCCAGAACAGTTGCTTTTGTGACTGTCCAGCATTTAAACATGCTCCCTATTAGGAATCAGTTCCCTGATCCCAAAGCATGTGCCCTGAGCCCCAGCTCCGCCAAGTGAATGCTCTTGCATCTGGATGTTGAGAGGGTGTCTAAAGACAGAAGAGAGTCAGAGATGATTGACAGTATCGAGAGTCCTGTGGTTATGAGTGAGAAGTGCTGCCCTGCATCCTGAAGAGATGGTCCCCACTGCATGATTTTGACAGTGAACTTGGTTACTTACCTTTCTTAATCCCTGCCCTTTCTCTGAGACTATCTCTATTCTTCCCATTGATTCAGTGGAGTTTGCACTTTTTAAGCTAAAATAGAGATTGGCTGTAACTTTTTTCATTCCCCCAAAATAGCTACAGTGCTATAGAATTTACCCCAAATGCCAAGAAGATACGAGAAAAGGAGATCCCATAAAGCACCTTCAAAAGCAGAGATTTAGAACAAAATAAGTCTTTTATGATTATACTGTACAGGGTGCAGACTAGTCAGTAGACTAGTCAATAAACTGGTTATGTGTGTTATGGAGGCACAGGTTTAGAAAGATCCTTTGAAATAGTTTTGCTCAAGCTTTTTGTGTTGGCAACAAGCACATATTTCAATAGAAAAAAACTTCTCAGCTTTTTTAACACTATGAAAAGTTGCCTGCTTTTATAAAATCCATATAAAGGAGTTGAAAGATTAACCAATCCTAAGCAGCCAACAATAGTTCAAGCATAGTGTCGGCTGTGCAGACCCTCACAATCCATCTGGTTCCCTTCTGTGCCCTGTGGAGACTATGCTTCCATAGGGCTCTCTACGGCTTACTTGGGAACCTTCTCACAGTTTCCAGGAAATACAAGGTGGGTCTTGATACTGGTTTGTTCTTACAATTCACTTCTGACATACTCAAAACATGTCATCCTTCTCCCTGCACAAACAACCAGTTCAGCTCAACATCCTGCTGAAAGATACTGTCTTACCCATGTGTCCTCAATTGTCGAGAAAAGTACATGTAGCTAACTGACATTTCACTAGTCATTGTGAAGGGCTCCTACATATGCTGGATGCAGACCTGGGCTTTGAAAATTCATCTAATTTATTCCTTTAACTACAGTATGCTGGAGTATAAATGACAGAATTTGGGACCCCAAAACTTGTGCTGTGGCACTCACTTTTGACATTCTGTTCCTGTCAGGGAGTCAGTTTCTGAAACTCTAAAATGAAGGCTGAGGTTGGGGTGAATGAGTTGATTTCCAAGATTTTCCTGTCACCATCATCAATACTTTTAATTATCTCAAGCAAAGAATGTACAATTCTCCAAATTTAAAAAAAAG